AACTCGAAACAAACCACCTGTTCTGGTCTAGGTTCTTTGCTTGCTTCTCCCGCATCCTTGCCCCCTCTTCCCTCTGTCTTTGAGAGTTGAGACTGTGTCCGTTGTCCCTTGGATCAATTCCTCGATGGCCGGCTGGACTGACATTCGTCGGCTTCCCCCTTCCCTTCTGCCGACCTTTTCGCAATCATCATCAATTATCTAATTTTATTCCTGACAGACTTTCATTATTTTATTTTATTTCTTTGTGAAAGTATTTTTTTCCCTCCATTTTGTCGAATTTCTGATTTCTCAAAATCGATGATCAAGCTCGTGATCTCTAACCAGATTGCCCGAAGCTGATCCCCAGAACGAGAGCGGGTGGGAAGAGAAAAAAATTCCACGCTTTTCCTCTTTCTCTCTGGGTCTTCTGGAACGCCGCTTGAATGGCCCATCCGTGCCTTTAGCCTCTCGCTGCTCTCTGTGTCTTGTCTCTCGTCTCTTACCACACCTACCCGTACCTAGTAGGACCTCCCTCTCCTCCTTCTCGCCCTCCCTCTCTCGCTTCCCTTCACTCTGCTCTGCTCGCTTACCATTTTCTTCTTCATTTCTCATCTAGATCCATCCTCTATTCACCTTTTCTTCCATCATACCCTCTTTTCATTCACCTTCTGTCATCATCATCTTCTTCTCTTCCACTTTCTCCTATCTACGCACTTCTGCTCACCCTCCAGCTCCATCCTTCCTTCGGACCCTTCGAGCTCTTTCGAGTCTTTCAACAGACAAATCCTTCTTTCGCCTCTTCCCTCCATGCGATTCGTGACTCGCCAGCCTCTACATGATCGACGGCTTCTAATTCTCGATACGACAACCTCGTTTCACGGTCGCACGCGCAATCCAGGTCCCCTGCTCTAAAAGTCTCGCTTATCTCACCTCGATCCGTAACCCTCGATCTTGACGTTCGTCACACTTGGGCAACGATTTCTCGGTAAAGCTCGCGGTTCTTTCTTCGCGATTTCGACTTGCTCTTTGGGCTACTGGTCTTGATTCAGCTTTGAAGGACCCAACTAGGTTCACTCACTCCATCCCATCGTTGTCGACTATTGGGCAAGAACTGAGCAAGGAAGTGCAAGGTGCAACCATCCATTTGGTGGTAGGTGACATGCCTGTTGGGTCTGAACGGGTTATTTGAAGCCCACAACCGCCCAACAATACACCACAGCGCTTTTCATTCATTCTTGGAGGGGGTACTCTGTCAGATTATGACAGATACCTCCCCAGTCGCCATCACGCACTCAACCACGGAGCCCTATCCGGTCACCGTACCCCTGAACTCACCCGCCCTCAACGGCGCCGTTTCCGACTCTGCCGCCCCTGACGAGGAGGAGCCGTATACCATCAAATGCATCTGCGCATTCGAAGATGATGATGGCAACACGGTTTTTTGCGAAGGGTGCGAGACTTGGCAGCATATCGAGTGCTACTATCATGGTCGCCACGTGCCTGAAGTCCACAACTGCGTGGACTGCGAGCCCCGCTACCTCGATGCTAAGCGTGCCACCGAGCGGCAGAGACGTCTCAGGGAGGTCGGCGACAGCGGTGACCGGAAAGCGAAACGTCCCGGAGCGAAAGGTCAGAAGAAAAGGGTCAAGGACCATGGTGACAAGGTGAACGGATTCCATCAAAGGGCGGACTCGGTTGCTCGTGACCAGCCCCCTGCCAAAAAGGCCAAAGCCACCCATCGCACCTCCGGATCCATCAGCTCTGTTTCTGGTGCTGCGCCCTTCCCACCCGATGCACGCAGACGTGTTGCAACTTCCATGAGTCCTACTAAAGCCCTGGGGCCATCCATCCCCCTTTACTCAAATGAATTTCTCCATCTCTATGACCATGATCAGAACTATGCCCCCATGAATAGCAACCTCTTTGTCAACCTCCCTCTTGCGGCAGACTTGGCGTCCTGGGTGACAGAGCCGACTGCGCTCGCTCGGGTTTCCAATGGGCGGTCGTCTCGTGACATCTTCACCTGGTCGGATACTGCGCTGGACCGGTCGCTCTGGCCTTCGTTGTCTACGGAAACACTCACCGACCCCAGCATCGATATCGAAGGACAACATCCAACTTGGAAGATTCTCAGGACCCGCGAGAGTGTCGCGAAAGACCACATTGTTGGCGAGATCACTGGTAAGATTGGTCTTTTGAGAGACTATTGCCTGGATTCAAGCAATCGCTGGCAGGAGCTTCGTCATCCGGAACCTTTCGTGTTCTTCCACCCCCAGCTCCCCATCTACATTGACAGTCGACACGAGGGTAGCATTCTCCGTTATGTGCGTCGCTCATGTCGACCAAATGTCACGATCAAGACTTACATCACCAATGAGGTAGAGTATCATTTCTGCTTCGTTGCTAAAGAAGACATTTCCGCCAACTCGGAGATTACGGCCATGTGGTATCTGGATCCCCAACTCTTCGAGTCGACACACGGTCTGGTCAAGCAGGAACCCAGTGACAGCGCTCAGGAAGTAGCTGCGATTTGCATCAGCAACGTGCTTGCAAATTTCGGTGGCTGCGCGTGCGAGCCGCCAGCTAACTGCTTACTTGCTAGCGTTGACCGCCGGCGGCACCCGAAGGCGCTCGAATCGAAGCAGATCAACGGCAAGCGGAAGAAAGCCAAGACGAAATCCGCCGTCTCGCCGCCGGCGACAACCAGTCGCGCAGGCAGTGAAACGACCAAGAACATGGAGGATGACGATCAAGCTGATAGTCGTTCCACATCGGGCTCTGCGCGGGGCCAGCCTCGTAGTCGCGATCTGACTCCCACGCTGCAGCACGATGGCGAGTCTGAGTTGTCGGCTCGAGAGAAGCGCAAGATTGCGGCCGCGGAAAAGAAATTCCAGCAGCTAGAACATGATCAGCAGGCGCACAAGAAGAAGAAGCGAAACAGCGGCCAGGCAAACTCGGCGTCACAGACCCAGGCGGGCCAGTCGGTTCATCAGGCTGTATCAGCTCATGGCCATTCTCGCTCGTCCTCTTCGGCCCAGCTTTCAGGATCAATGTCTAGGAAGACCTCTGGTATCGGCGTTCCTCACGGGCGGTCTCCGCTGGGACGTCCGCACTATGTGGACTCGGCCATTCAGACGGAGCCCGATGCTGATACGTTGGAGCTGTCTGCTGTGCCATCCCCACGGCGGCCTAGCTATGTACCCCTCACGCAACGGCTACTGAGGCGTTGTCATGCAGATCGTGTTCGCTTGGAGGAAGTCAGTCGAAGACCACCCATCGCGTCATCGTCTCCGTCTCCAGCCGCGATCTCTCCTCTGTCTTCGAGTCCGCACGGCGGCCTATACCCAAATGTTACACCTCTCAAATTTCCCTCGACTGAGAAGGAAGATGTGGAAATGAAGGATTCCAACTCGCCCACGGTATTGTCTTCCGGTCAATCACAGACTCACGAGTCAGAACGAAAAGCGTCGACTCCCCCGTCCGCTACTAGGGGATTGAACAGGCCTCCACTCCCCCCTCCATGGCCGTCCACTGCTGCCCACAATACTTTGTTACCACGAAGTAAGGTGAATGGTCACCGTACAAATCTCTGGGTTCCTCTTCCCCCCGCCACTCACCCGACCGGGCCGACTGCCGTCAGTCCGGGATCGGCGACCGGGTCGGCGGTGTCATCGCCATTTACTCTGGATGCCCCAGCACAACCTGCCGCAGCTACTCCAGGGTCTGGAGTGACTGCGCCGAGTCCTGTCAAGAAGAAGCTTAGTCTTGGGGATTATCTCAGCCGAAGGGGAGCATTGACCACTCCGACGTCGGAGAAGAGCCAAGCGCAAGCGACTGCCATGCTTCCTCCACAGAAGCCTGTTTCCGATCAATCGACCGCAACTCGCGATTCATCCGCGCCGATGGACACACTGCACCCCGAGATCAAAGCAGTAGGAGAAGCTGAAGCAACCAAGCGAGAAAATACCACCTCGCCGGACGTGACGATGAAGGACGCTCCTCGTTCAGCGCAGACCTCGCATGTTCCCTCATTCTTTTTCTAGACACATTTGTCTGCTGGTGACGCTTGCTATGCTTCTGTGGTGATTGGCGGAATCTTCCTTTTCGTTCTTCCACTTTGTCTCTCTTCGGGGAGCACATTTGTGACTGTCTCCTTTCTAATCTGCTTGTCTTTCTACAATCTACCATTTCTGTTCGTGTACACGGTGGGAACTAGGCGCGTTCTAGCCATGGAGTCGGGTTTGTTTTGATACACAAAAGGCGTCTCTGGCGTTGGTTGGAAGCGGAAATATTATGGGCTCGGGCTGGGCACATGGGGTTTGGTCTAGTCGCTGACGTGCAGCGTCTGCTTCACGATTTGTCTTTTACTATTTTGCCTTTTTTACTGTCCTTTATTCGTAGGATTTCTTCCGAGCAGTATCTGCGACGACTCTGTCCCACGGAGACTAACGGCATTATGATCTGATTCTTATCAGTTGAGATGACCAATGCAGATGTCTACAAGAGATACCTTCTCCAACGACTGTAATTCTCCTGGCCCTATAGTTCAGCTGTATTGGGGGTTTGCATGCCCGACGGACATTGTCCTGGCCCGACCTCCACCGCCAGCAGGCCCCGACATCCGACAACCGACATTTGAGCTCAGAGCTCATTCCTTGAGGGTTCATTTCTGGCGAACTTGAGATTCCGCAAGGTTTGTGTCATTGTCATTATCCCCGGATGATGGTCGGATCGATCTGGCCGCTGAATTGTGTTGCCTGGAGATAACTGATGATGGATACGATGACCTAGCTGATACATCTATATCGCGGGCAGTAGTAAACCCGATTGTCGGACCGTCTGACGGCAGACGGAAGTACATTAGACATTGTGCTCTAGATACACTCTTCGCTCATACTCGAGAATGGCGCCGCAACTGGGGAGGTATAACGCGACTATCCTGCTAATTGAATCCACCCGGCTCACACCAACCGAGCACTCGATCTGGAGAGCCTTTCTGGACGAGGCTGTCAATCCGAAATATGCTGCTCAATATATCCGGGAAAGGATCAGGTCGTCCTCCGGAGCAAGCCTTGCAAGAATTAAAACTCGACTGGAAGCGAGTTGTCACTAAGTGTCAGTCGAAACCGAGCGTGCTCCTGCTTCTCTGCTAACCATCGAATCAGTGGCCAGGCGAGACCAAGTCTCGTCCGAAGCACGAGCTCTGGTCGAAGCTCGGGACGATGCGCACTGCTTTATGCTGGATCAGAAGCCGTCCATGTCGGTCTATGTTCATCCATGCGGACCTGCACCCGAGCAATATTCTTATTGCTCGTGGACGCCCCTCTGGAATTGTGGACTGGGAATGCGCCAGCTTCTACCCTGAGTACTGGGAATTTACAAAGCTCATGTATGGTGCAGAACGATTCCCGGAAATTCAACAGATCCTTCGTGATGCATTCCCAGAAGATAGCTATGAGGAGGAGCTAGAGGTGGAATGACACGCCACTGGGTATATAGACTGACTAGGAGAATGCCTATCTCAAAAAGGGGGCTGAATACACACCAGAAACCCTAGGCCTTAAGCATAATTCAAAAAATAGTCTAGCGCACCTCGATACAGAGTACTACGGTTCTGATGAAGCATGGATCTACCGGTACAGAGTATGGAGCTGTGGTGTTGCTCTTACCGCAGCAAATCACGTGATGTATTCGGATCTCTTGCTCTCGTCCAGCTTGCAACAGCTCTTCCGAAGCCCAGCAGCTCTCTTCAGCACAACCACCTTCTTTACCCGCCTGGGCTTCAGAGGCTGTTCATAAGATTCCGTCATCGTTTCTGACCAGTGTCTCTGCTGTCTATCATGGCTTCTGTCGACCCCTCCCTCCAGGATCCGCTCCTCGCCCTTCGCAGTGCGATCGCAGCCGGCAGTCTTCCCACGCCAACCACCACCTCCGACCTCTCGGATGAGAATGCGACCGAGGACCTGGCCAAAGCTACCCATCTGTACTTCCGCCAGCCGATCCCACACACCATTGCGCTGACGGCCCCGACGCGCTTTGTCTCCGCCTCGTCTGACTCCGCCGTCGATCTCCGCAGCATCTTCTTCGCTTGGCAGAAGAAAGACGTCGCAATCCCCGAGTACATCGCCTCCGCGCAGGAATTGAACGAGTCGCTGAAGCAAAAGGAGCGCAGGGAAGGCGAGCCCGAGGCGAAGGTGCAGAATCTGGTCTTCGTTGAGCGGCTGGATCTCATCACTTGGCTGGAAGGTGCCTCGGATGAGAGTGAGTACATCAAGCCCCTTGAGGGTGCGGCGGCGGCGGCCGCAGCTGCCGCTCCGGCGGACGCGTCGGCTACGATCGCTCCTGGGGCCGTAGGTGGTGTCTCTGCGGTGCCTGGTGGTGTCGCCGGTGGTGCTCAGGCGGCTGTGGCTGCTCAGGCTGGACGGGCGCCCAAGGCGATTGATCCCAGATTACAGGAGATTTACAATGGGGAACGGAAGATGGGTGATCGGAATAGTGTCCTGCGGGGGATCAAGCCTACCGTGAGTTCTGCCCCCGGCGGCTTGAGAAAGCAGACAAACGAATGCAGTGCTAACGGGGGACTTTAGGATTTCTCACACGTTCGCAAAGTAGCGGAGACCTTCCTCGGACGCAACCGCTCACGGACAGGACAATACCCCCCCGGCGCGAAGCCCGGAAGCAAGCCGCAGCCCGTCGTGCCCGCCCCGTCCGCGGGACTCACTCAGCCCCGAAAGAGCGGCAGCTCCAAGAACCAAGACCCGATCATCCTCCTCTCCCCCTCCGCCTCGTCTCTCATCCGCATGTCGAACGTCCGCTCCTTCCTACAGGACGGCGTCTTCGTGCCCCCCGACCACCCGACCCTCGCCATGCCCAGCTCCTCCAACAACCTCCTCTACATCTACCGCCCCCTCCGCTCAGAGGGCGGTTCCACCTCCACCTCCCGCCCACCCGGGGGCACCCAGCCCGGAGCCGCCCCCAGGAAACCCACCCGCTCCATCCTCGTCGACAGCTCCGCCAACTTCCGTCCTGTCCACTGGTACCGC